ATGCATTTATTCATTTTTTCAACACTCTAGAGAGTACCCTGTGGACAATATGGTCTTCCATGGAAATGAACAGTTTTCAACAATAAACTTTCAGAAATTATCTTTTACACTACTTAAAGGCTCAGGTAGCCTTTTGGCCCATACGCAAAATGCAGCCTCCTTTTCACTGGAAGAATTAAGAGTTTTGAGTGCAGTTACTTGTAATGCAAGTGTCCTTTTTTTTTTCATGTATGAAGTTAGTTTTATGGGTTATGGTAAGTTAATCTAAATGTGATAGTGATCATGTGGAAATTTGCTCAGGTAAAGTAAAGAAAAAAAAATCAATTTACAGAATGCTCCCTTAAATTGCTCTAGGTGACAGAATTTAAGATGCATGTTATATCTACTCAGCTCATATATGTTTTCCTTTTATTTTCAGCTATATTGCAATTTCCAGCTGTTCATAAGAAGCGGCCTCCTAAATCTGGATACCGACGGACAAAAATTAATCGTAAGAAACTCTGAATGCTCCATTTGTTCAGAAGAATTATTTCTAGAAAATCAAGTAACACGAGTCATTAATTTTTTTCCTTTGGTTGAAGTTAATGGACTACTTTCCATTACAAAGTCTCAGTTAAAATGATAGCCCTTCAATAATTTGTTTCTCCTTGTTTGTATTTTATATGATGGATGGTAGCATCTACTTGGGAGATTAGGAGGTTGCACCCACCATTGGGTACAGATGCTGCAAAATGCCTTGTAACACAGATGTTAGAGATACATTCGGCTGGCTGGTGTAGATGGAAGAAAAATAGCTGCTCAAAGTTTGAAAAGACCATCCCTTATGCATTATTATGTCAGGTGTCAGGTGGAGTTTCTAACAGATTCTTTATCATTTCTATTTTACAATCACGATTCTAAAAATCTGCTAGCTTGGTGCTATCTAGCATCCCCCTCAGAAAATCAATTCTATGATCTGTGTAAGGGGCTTTTCATTAAGACATTAAAACTTTGATGGCTTAGACAACCTTTCTTAAATGGTCTTATACCGCATACCTCTTGCTTAAACTCTGTTTTCCCTGCTATGTGTGACCACCTTGAAGACAGGGTGGATCTATGAATTTACTTACACTGTTCTCCAGTTATCCCATGGAATAGGTTAAAATGTTTAAGGGAAACTACAGACTTTGGTTATGGCATGTACTTAGAGTAGTTGCAAGGAAAACCTAGAACACTTGAATCACCTTGGTGCTAGTATAGTTAGAGAAGTTTTGTGGTTAGCATACTCATGCTGTTTTTTACAATGTGGGGGAAAACTTTTAAGTTACAGGTAACCATCATTTGCAACTATGTAACTCATTTACCTTAGGGTTCATGACCCAATTGGTGCTCCTTAGTGCGGCTGACTATGTGTTGGCTTATTCATAATGAGCAGTGACTCCTTGCTTCTAGTTAAGGTGTGATTTATGAGTGGTATTGGTATTGGTGGTGGAATGGCATAACATTGTGAAGGTGTTAACTTTTTTCTGATGGGCAAAGGTGTTAACTAGAACAGTTCTTGCTTCTCTTGTTTGAGTCAGACACATGCTGCTAGGGATAAGGTAGAATTATATTTTTGAAACACCAGGGTACTTAACATATGAAGAATTCTTATATGGGACAGCTTTTAGAGTTAACACTTCAAACTCATGAAACATTGTTGTTGGATTTATGAAATATGTACCACAGTGTCAGCCCCACTTAATTGGCTTTCAGGTTTAAAGGAATATATTGGAGCAAATCCAGCACTCAAATCTGAATCTACAACCATGGTTGTCCATTCCAAATATTTTGATATTCCAGGCGCCAATAGTGATTATGAAGATGCAGAAGTGCCGGATGAGTTCTATGATGCAATTGCTGGAGATTCATCTTCATCAGAAGAAGATGATGATGATGATGACAACGACAATGATTATGAAACTAGTGAAGGCTGTGAAGTTAAAAAGGTAGTCCTTTTCTTTTTTACTTCTTGACCTTCAGAATAATTTGCAACACCCTTCCTCCCCATTCAAAACTGAGTACTTTTAAGGGATCTTGGGCAATTATTTCATTTAAAAAACTCTTGAACTGATACTTACCTTTCAACTTCGTAGGAGACAAAAGTGAAGCTGAAGAATGTATCTTGGGCAATCTCAAGCTCAGCTTTAAAGCGAGCTTCAGGTTCTCTCTATCCATGTAGTTAAAAAGATTCATCTACTTTATGTTTGGTATCATATTGCTTTCGTGTAATTTCACAGTTCAGTTCTAGCACCAGCTGTTGCTAGATGAGATGTGAGGAAGTATGGTAGTTATGGCATGAATATTTGATAATCTAAGGAAATCATTTTGCTATCTATTTGCTCTATATTTAAGGAAATCGTAATTCTCTTTATTCTATGATAAACTGTAAAGTATACCAATGACGACGATGATTCTCAACCTGATAGTTATTGCATACTTTTGTCCTTGCAGTAAATAGTTTCCAAGCTTTTGGAGACATTCTTCTTAGAAATATATATTTTACAAATTTATGATGATAATTCTTTTGTTGCTTCTTTATGCTCTCTTTTTTCCCTTTTGGTTGTGTCAATCTCAATAGCCAGTAAAGATAGCTTAGAGCTTAAAATTACATTTTTTGCTTTTGTTGTGAGTCAATGATAATTATGTTATGGTGGATGCAGCCCCAGATGCAAATAAGGAACTAGACGGTGGGGTTTCTCCCATAAATCTTGATCCAAGTGAGTTCAATGGTTCCCTCCACAATGGAAAGGATGAGACTGACTCAAATTGTTGGACGTCTCCTAATGGCAAGGGATTTATGATAAGAGGGAAGACTTACCTAAAAGACAGGGCTAAGGTGGGCATTCATCTGCTTCTAAATCATTTTCATTTTTGTTCTCTAATGCTTCTCTAAATCATTTTGCATGTTTAGATATTCTAATTCTATTGTCTGAGTGTCCTCTTGGCACATAATATATATCACCAAAACGAAAGACAAGAACTTTTGGTATTTTATTTTAGTGTTAGATCTCCCATTTGCTTGATACGTGATGCTGCAGATTTATCAGTGCTCATTTTTCAATAAAAAAATAATAACAATAAATCTGTTAGAGTGTGTTCAATCTCAACTTGCTCCTTTTTTTTAAAATCAAGTTTGAGTTTCTTAGATAGCTTTTTCGTTGTAGTAAATTCTGTTTAACTGGTTTTATGCTTTAATTTCAAATGTAGTGGTATGGTATAATTTTATTTTTAATTCCATAATTGATTTCATCAAATTCTTTTTCTGGTTGAGATACCCTGATTTCTGCATGGTGCAAACATCAACTTATAAATCTCATTTCAGGTAAAGGGTGGGGATCCACTTCTCAAACTTATTGCTGTTGACTGGTTAAAAGTTGATAAAGCCATAGATAGGGTTGCATTGCACCGAAGGTGTCTAGTTCAGGTATTATCCTAGTTTTCATTTTTTTTAACTCACAATGTTTTTATTTGATGAAAGGCAAAATCATTTAATATATGACTTATCTATCACATTTTGCATCTGACAGAGTTTGGACAGACATGTGAAGCTCAGCTTAAGTTCCTAGCAAAATAAGAATAACTCCTTTTGTTATTTACCCTTTTATTTCAATATTCTGGGACGTTGGAATGTCACAGTAATATGATTGTTTAGTGTTTACACTGTCATCCTTAGAATTAAGAACGACAATTTTGAGTGCCAAAGATTTTTTAAATGCATCATTTAGAATAATATGGTTCAATCTTTTCTCTAGAGTAGCTAAGAAACTGTCGTGCTGAAGGAATTCTTGAATTCATCTCTTAGTCTACTTAAAGTAACAATATTCTTCTCCAGTTCTCACCCATAAGTTATCACCATTCACCTTTATGATTCTTAGACAGGACATGTAAGAAAGGTAATTTCAACTTAAGTGTCCATAATTATTCTTAAACTCATTACCTTGAATGAACTAGCTAACAAAGTCTCTGAAAAGTTGGAAATAGAAAATGTTTGTTCCAGATCCGAAAGTTCTCAACTGAAAATTTTTTAGCTGATGGTTTGCTCTTATTTCCATGAGATGTTGTTAAGGGGACTTTATAATCTGTCCAATGAATTTCAATAGAACCATCAAATCTTTTTTGCATAACATGTTGAGCTTTTGCATATTTATTGATAGAGCAATGGCATCATTTGTTAAACTAGAGATAAAGATGCATCTTCTCCAATTTGACCACGCATGAATTGATAAATAAGCTCATTCTTTAGACTTTATATAATCAAGTGATCCTTATGAGTTATGACGTGACTGTTGCTTCTTAATTTCAGTCAGAAGCTGGAAAAAAGCTCCCATTCATCCTTGTCATTAATCTCCAGGTATAAATACAATGCATTTTCCTATATTTACAGCTTGCTTCTGCACACTATTTAGTATTAAAAGTTAACTTGTTTGATTGTTTACGATGAACTCATCTAATAGGAAAGTTTTGCCCTTAAATAGGTTTTAGTGTAGCTGTATTACAAAGAGATTTCCTGGAAAGGGAAGAAACTTAAGGGCATTATTTTTTAAATGGCCAAATAGTATCTGGTTTTCTCCCCAAAATACTGTTTTTAGAGAGTGTTAAATCACCCAAGCCCAAATTCAATAATAGGTGCAGAGGTCCAACTTCAGTATAAGACCACAAGGCATTCAAACTTTATCTATGAGGGATGACACCAATACTTCATGCTCTGTATCATGTGTAGCCTCTGTAGACCAACTAAAATCAGGCCTATCACCTGGACAACTTAAAGAAGCCAACAGAATGGGGCAATAAACGAACTTAAGTCATCACTCCATGTTGAAACATCCAACCCAAAACCAATTGAAATTGGGTCAAGAGGCCCAACTTGGATACTAGACCACAAGAAACCATGAAACCAATCAATGTCTAATGCCACTATTTTAGTGAGAAATTTTTAAATTATGGGTTAATTTTAGAGAATTTCATTTCAGTCTCTGAATGAGGAATAATTGGATTTCTCTCTCAGGTTCCTGCAAAACCAAACTATAGTTTGGTTCTCTATTATGCCTCTGAAAGGCCTGTGAATGACAATTCCTTGTTGGGGAAGTTTGTGGACGGGACAGACATGTATCGGGATTTAAGATTTAAATTGATCCCCAGCATTGTTGAGGTATAAAATGCTATGTATGAAGATACTGTTAGTTGTTTTATTTTCTTTTGGTTTAGAAGCTCCTCTCAATTTTTCTGATAAAAAACCCTGTCTAATTTAAGTAACTTTTATCTGTTTCCTTTTGTTGCTATTAAAGGGATATTGGATGGTGAAGCGTGCAGTTGGAACAAAAGCTTGCCTCCTGGGTAAAGCTGTAGCCTGCAAATATTTCAGACAAGACAATTTTCTGGAGGTAATACAATCTCAGTTTTGTTGTGTGATTTATTAAAATATGTAAGGGCTTGAACTTGAAGGCTTAGAACAAGTTCATTGCATTTAATAAATTATTATGATCAATATATTATTCCATTGCAAAAGAGTATGATATTTAAACCAACAAGTAACACTGACTTTGTTTCATGTCCTATCTTATTAAATTTTCTTTCAGTAATTGTAATATATTATGGTAATGTCCAAGTTACTTGGGCAGGTTATGCCCTTGATTGACTGCCTCTAGAGGTCAAATTTTGTTGATTTACAATTATGGTTTAGATGGAGACATTTACCTCCACTGTTTCTTGCTTTGATCTCACTATTGGTGTTAAATAAAATATATTATTTCTGATCTTCTGTTTTGTAGATTGACGTGGATATTGGATCATCATCTGTTGCAAGAAGTGTTATTGGCCTCGTCCTTGGATATGTGACTAGCTTAGTAGTTGATCTTGCAATTCTGATAGAGGTACTTATCCTTTGTGTCGAAATCTATGAATTTTATCTTGTTGAGGATTTAAATGGCCATCTTTCCATTTCTTTCTTTTCTTATTTTGAGTTGAGTTCTAAGCTTGAAATTTGAATGTTTCTATGGAAAACTCAGGAAATTCAGTAACTCCAGTTCCAGAACAGTATCTGTTTCCAGAATTATTACATTTTTGTACATGCTTTAGGAGTAAAAACAGAAAACTAGGAGAAATATCACGCAAACTCTTCTTCCAGCATGAACTTTAGCTCATATGACCTTAGGTTCAAGCATTCATCAGATTATTGCTCTGGTTGTGTATGGGTTTTCAGCATAGTATTATTGAAGTGGAAAACTTTACTGTCCATGATGTTGGTAGTGTCTTGATTTTACTCCTAAAATACTTGGTACACAAGCAGTTAGGTTGAAATTCTGAAACCTTTTCGTTAACCAGCTTTCAGCACTTTACTCTTGTAACTTGTAATCTTGCTTTCCTGTTTTGTTTTTCTAGTGTCTTTCCTACATGTTTGGATCTTAGCAATTTTTATATTGAGGAAAACTGACTGCTGTAGATACGAAAAGGCTTTAGACATAAACAGTAGTCATCTTATATGCTATATACGAACTATTCTCATTGTTACTTTGAAATCATGCTAAATACTGTTACTTGCTTTTTCTGCAGGCGAAGGAGGAGGAAGAATTGCCAGAGTACCTTCTTGGGACTGTTCGGCTGAATAAATTACGCCTTGACTCTGCTGTAAAACTGGAGGTTTGATGTTTACATGTATCTGCATTCTTTTACCTTCTCTCTTTTCCAAGAGGTTGATGCCATTGCTGCAACAGGGCTTCATTTTTCAAACATCATCCATGGCCTGATCTAGTATAAACATCCTTTAGTCTCCCATTACTCTAACCCCAACTTGACATCATTTTCAGTAGACAGTTTACTTAGTTGGTTAGGGGGATTATTTTTGAGTCTTTCTTGGCATGTTGCTGTGTTGTGTTGTATTATTCTCTGCTTGAACAAGTTACTGGTAGCTAAGAAGATTCACTTGCGACTATTATTTATACTTGGGCAAGATTATATCAGGTAAATAACAGTGGACAATTTTGAACACAAAGTTTACAGCGCAAATATACATTACCGTCTGGATCTTCCATTAGACACGCACCAAGATTCATGTAATGTAATTCATATTTTACGAAACAACATGCATTGGTTAGTTTACATTTTTACTGCAAGCATTAAGTTGACTTAAAACTTGCCCTCAGAGTCAAACATTTTAGGTGTAGTTGACATTTTACATGTTTTAGGGTGTCTTTTTCTTCTATTACTGTTATTGATGATTTCACCTCATAAAATTTCCTTTTAATTTAATAACTTATTTGATGAAATTCTTGATGTTAATTAGGTGTAATTGTTTGAGTTATCTCATCTCTAATTTCTCAAACAATTAATTTTTAAGGATGCATTATAGAGTAAATCAAAATTAATAGTATTTTAATAATTATAATAGAATGTCTTTTAAGAGATAATTTAATAACAGTAAATTAATAGTTAGGATTATGACTTTTTAACTAAAAATTTATTTTTGAATCTCAAAATAGATGGGTTTATGTAGGGTTTTGATTGACAAATAATTAAAGAAAGAACGAAGTGGAGTGGAGTGGGGTGTTCTCAAATTGCATGGATTTGGGTCCTACTACAGCAAACGCATAGTATCATAGATATTCTTGAGGAAGAAGAAATGTTTTCAATTTCGTTCAACCACTCCACTAGCTCACCATCTTTTTGCTTTTGTCTATTCTTTAGACATACTTTATCCATGATTGATGTTTTTTGCCTGTTGAATGCTTGCCCCTTTATGCATTGCTCATTAGTTTCAGCACCACCAAATTTTGACCAAATCCCTAATTTCCTAATTATTGCCCATCTAAAAGCCCGAAACTACCCCTCCCTTCAAGGGTAGCATTTGTCCATTTGTGAGTATGCTTTGAAGAGTGCATTAAGACAAATATCAAATCAGAAAATGGGGTTAACCAGGCTCCTCCTGCTCTTTTGACTCAGAACAGTAATCCAATTACCCTGAATACTTCCTTTCCTAAAAAGATGTGCTCTTCCTTCACCACACGGCCATGTACAGTCGATTCAGGCTGCAAGGTCTTTTTCAAATATGATAAATTTCTCTAGGGAAACCCCTTTACCTTTCAACCCACAACGTTGAATAAAACTTTGTAAAACCAACATTTTTCTGGTTTTACAGTTTTCCAGAAGGTTAGGTTGATGTTATCATCTAAATAGTTAATATTATTAATTTATTAATAATTTTATTAATTTATAATTTTTTTTAAAACAATTGATATCATATTTAAACTATTTAATTATAAATTAATTTTAATTTATTAAATAATAAATATTAATTATTTTAATATTCATTAATTATTTTAACAATAAAAAAATTTTTAACTTATACTCTTAAGTTTTATTAAATATAATATTTTTAATTAACTCTACATAAATTTTTATATTATATTCAAATTTAATATAAAAATTTATATAAAATTAAGTATAAATTTTGTAATTAATAAGGTTTAATTTATGTATATAAATTAAATAAATCATTAACAATATAATTAAAATAAAATTTTAATAATTATTAATAATTTTAACAAATTAAATGGTTATCATAAGCATAACCTTTTCCAAGACGGCACTGCATTAATACCAAATGGTTTAGGGTTTTGACTAAGAGCAGTAAGGTTGAGCAATTGATTGCAGCACCCAGAATGTGGTTCTGCAACGGCAGGGCGAGATTGTCTGCCTCCTCATTAATTGAAACTTAATTATAGACGCAAATGTGTACCTCAGCAAAATAATTCAGTCACGGGGCCGCTGTGAACTCTGCAGGTGCCTCTTGTGAAGTGAGGACCAAATTCTGAAGCCCTTTGCACTGTTTCCCACACTGGGTGTAGACATGATTTTTGTCTTCTCTCTTTTCTTATAATGAAAACAGAAATTTTGAACCTCACCCATGGGTGAGTGAAAGTAAAAGTGGTATTATTTATCATTCACTCAATTAAACTTTAAAGAATTTTTATCTACTTTTTCCTTTTCTTTCTTTAAAAGTTATAATTTGTTAAAAAAAAAAAACAAAAATTTTATAAATAAAACAATCAGAATAATTAAAAAAAAAGGACAATCCATGTGTATCACTTGAAGTACAGAACTTTTGCCCCTCTGCTTCCTTCCAGTGACTACTACACTGTGCTTGTTTTCTCTTCTGACTTTTACCCTGTGCCTGTTTTTTCTTCTGACTTCAGACACTTTAGACTCATTAGTTTTAAGTTACGGCCTAAACCCATATGAACCCTAACCCTTGAAAGTGTTTTGATCAATTCATCCAGCAAATTTGGACGTTGAAAGGCAAATATGGGAACTTTTAAAATTTACACATTATATCAATGAACATTAGAATCTAGCAGAGTTGATATCCACCACTTAAAGTTTTTAATATTAAAATGTAATGAATGAGCGTGAACCATGGATAAAGTGGTAAGCTTTAATATTCATCAATCTTCAAGGACACAAAATGTTAAGCTCATCATCAATCAAGCAAAAGCCAAAAGGATTAAATTAAATTTTAGTTGCTTTTATCACTACTGTTGTCCTTTTCTTTTTGGCAACATCACTGCAACTGTTGTCTTTAGTTTACTCTTTACCTTTCCCTACACCTGCTTCTGTCAATTCAAAGGAGCCTGTTTCAATCCAAACAAATATCTCTATTTTGTCCTTGTATGTGTAATTTGATACAGTTGTGGTCAAATTAGCAAGATTTATTTGCACAAACTATTATTGATAGCAGCTGTCAAGGCAGTTGTCTCTAAGATGTCAACTTTTAATTTCCATTTATAACATAATGATTCAACTTTATCTTCTTTTTGAATTTGCTTATTACGAACAGTTTGTAATTGTATTCATCTTGTTAATTAAGATTTAAGATTTTAAAGAGGTTATAAAAAGATAATTATTTTAAGAACCTCTAATTATGTTGTTGGTGATATGTTTTTAACCAAACCAGATTCATCGATTTAGTTTAGTAATCATGAGATAATCCCTTCAGTTGGATGAAAAGTAGCTTTTTGTAAAAAATTCACACACACACACACATTAATTGTAGCCTCTTTAAAAATCCCTCTTTGTCAGCCATGTCAATCTCATTGGTTAATCAGCCTTCATCTCTGATTCTGCAATCCATAATTTTTCAACTGCTCCAATCCATAAGGCTAGAAGTATGATAATTTATTAATGAA